ATATATGTATATATATATGTATATTCTTTTTTTAGCTAGCTTTAACTCTACTGTTAGCCTGTGCTGCTTCTAAAGGAGCTGTTCAAATTAAGAAGCTGCTCACCTCTTGTTACTCTGTATGAGCTTTCAAGGGAATACTTGTGTGAATCTGTATTCCATATTGGATGGCATGCATTCCTAGCCAGCATGCTTGCAACCTTGCTTGTAATCATAGGTTTGCCTCTTAGTGCTTCTGTTCCTTCATTATTCAGCCTTACATCCAAAGCTGAGCAGTTCCTAAAACCATGATTTATCCCACAGTGTTAAACTTCTGAAGTAAAACGTAAATTACCTCAATTCCATTCAAATCAAATTTGCTGTTGCTTATATAGTAGTCACCAGAAAATGATCCCTGAGTAAAATGTGAATGTGTATGACATAACTTCTATTTGTAAATAAATCAGTGCCTGGCTAGTATTTGTTTGGAATATTGCCCCATTTCACTCCATCCATGCACAGCTTGTAACTTCAAAGATACTACCCCTCAGTGGGGGAACCCCACACAGGTGGAATCTGTCTGTGAATGACACAAATGCATGGATGCTATCAATCAAATGCATCTCTCTGTAGCAGCCCGCTTTCTCCACCTCACCTGAACCCCCAATCTTTTGTCTGCAGGCTCTCTGCAGCAATATATGCACGTTTTCTTTTCTTTCTTATTTCAAAATGTATGTATGTATGTATTTTAGTAGAGATTTAAAAACCCAGTTAAAAAGAAAAGCAAAGAGAAAAGACATTATAAGCAGTGTAAGATTAAGTAAAAAATTGAACTAATGTTAGATTAGTCCTCCATATTATAATATTGTGTTTAACACTTTAGAACATTTCTAAAATCAAATTGTTATTCAATGATTAACAATAACCACTTTAATAGGAATGAGTCAGAATAATGAATTTAAAAAAATTCTGTCTAATCCAAGAATTCTGTCCTTGTTAACAAATCAAACAAAAATGTGGATATTAAAGCCTCAAGTTAAGAGAAACCCGAACTTCATGTGCAGTATTAGTCCATATGAAGAACTGTAATCTGTAAATGGTTTCCAAGTTGAATTAAATTCTATATCAGACTTGTTTTTCAGACATGAGGATAGTTTTTAGATTGATGAACAGTCCCATAGCTTGATCTCCCATTCTTTAGACATGCACATTCCCAGGTGGGCTTGTATATAATACAGTATAAAGAATGGCCACACTGGCATTATTCCAGTCCTACATAGAACTTGCATGCATTGGTTTAGCAATGAGTTTCCTTTTTAAAACCATTATTCTGAGCCTATGACATAGGAAGGAAAATAAATGTTAAACTAGCAACTCTAGCTGTGTAACACTATCGATGTAATTTGTTAGGGGCCGTTAAGCCAGAATCCAAACCTGTTGGTCCAAAACTGGAGCTTAGGCTAGTTGAGCTCTATGACTCAAGACTGGCCAACCGAAGCCTAGTTTATGGGAACATAGCTGATTGCCTTTGTGTGATCGACAGGGCAGGTCCTACACCTTTTTTTTACATTAGGAGGTAAGAGACCACAGGTGGCTGTGTTCATATATTATTTACCGAACAAGCCAGAAACACACCAGGATCAGTCTTCTAGATAAGCAAAATAATTATGGCTTATTTAGCTAATTCCTGGCTTGTTTCCCCTCTTTTTTAGCTACTCTTTTCTTGTGCCCTCTGGATTGATTAGAGTCAAGGGACAAACCAAGAGTAAGACAGAATCTCACAGATCACGTATCCCTATTCGCACATTGTGCCAAGACAGAATTGCAGTCAGTAAGCCAAGAACAAACTCTTATTTCAGACTATAATTTATTGTCCTAAAATAAACCATGCTTTATTCACTCAGCTTTCTTATCCAAAACTAAACCAACTACATTATGGTTTACTGCAGTGTACTAACTTCTCAGGTCCTGATTCTTGCTCCAGTCGCCCACAATTGTAGTGTAGTCCTGAGAGAGTCTAGCCATTTCTGTCTATTTCTAGACATCCTTCACTGCTAATTTGAACGGAATGATGTTTGGAATAGAATGTTTCCCAGTCTCTGGTCAAGTTATTCTATCATTCCTCCTGTACAGATCAACCATTTAAGGTGGAGTCCAGCCTGTGTTAAGTGTGTTTAAGCCCCGTTGCTTAGGAAAGAATTCGGTGCATATGTAAATATTTCCTACAGAAGTAGGCAAGGTCTGAATGCACTTAACTTTGGCTGGGTTCGTTGGATCCTCTGCAACGTTTTCAGCCACTTCCAATAGGGCTTGCTCTAACTCTTGCAAACTCTTGAGTCACGCATTGCAGTGCTGCCCCTGTTCTTGTTACTCTAAAAATCATAGAACACAAAGCAGCCTTTCAAGTAGCTTTCAGGCTGCCTGAGAATAATAAAGTTAGATGAAGTCTTAATGTGCAAGGGATTTGAATTTATTTTACAGTCTACAGGTGTAGATGCTTTTGCTAGAATACACCAAGTCTTTATTCTGAGCTAGAAATCGGACTTCGTTGTTGCATCAGAGTTCCATTTTTGGCTCAGCAAAAATACACAGGCTCTTTCCTACTTTGTTGTGTGCAAGGGGAGAATAGGACATCAGCCCAGTTTTCAATTCTGATTCAGTTGATTTCCTACTGTTTTACAGTAGAGAATCTTTTTCAGAATTAAGCATTATAATATTGAGCAAAGAACTTTGCCCTGATGAATGTATTTTATCCCCAAGCTACATTTTTCTGCATGGTATGCTTTATATTTTTCACATTTCCTGTGCCGTTTAATTTTAGCACATATGCTTTCTAACTGTGCTTGCTCAATATGCTTTGTTGGGTCCAGAGTATTAATGATTGCCTGTAATTGTCATGTTAAAGGATCAGACTGCAAAGGACAAAGCACTCCAGCACATGGCAGCCATGTCCTCCGCTCAAATAGTATCTGCAACAGCGATTCACAATAAGTTGGGTTTGCCAGGAATTCCCCGTCCAACGTTCCCTGGAGCACCTGGAGTAAGTTAATTGGCTAAAATAAAAATATATTTCCCAAAAGCCATGGGCAGGATATGCCTAAATTAGTTAATTTATCCATAAAAGGTTCTTCCCCTCTCCCATCATAAATCTTTTTAGTTAAAAAATATGCTTTAAAGAAAATAAGTTGTATATCTTAAATCTGTGTGTTTAATTTTTCTGTTTCCTCTTACCCCAATCTAGTTTTGGCCTGGGATGCTACAAACAGGACAGCCCGGATCTTCTCAGGAGTAAGTTGGAAATTAAGAAACATACATTTCTGTTTTTGTATGTATGTTTGCATATGTGGTAGTATGTGTATATACTAGAATGTTTGCCTGATTGCACTTACAGGTAATCCTCGTTTAGCAACTGCCTCGTTTAGCAACTGTTCATACTTACAACAGTGACGAAATAGTAACTTTGCAACCAGTCCTCACATTTATGACCTTCGCAGGTCTGTAAAGCGAAGGAAAGCTGAAATAAGATCATAAACACAGTCATGGTTTCACTTAATGACCACTTCACTTAACAACTGAGTTGCCAATCCCAGTTGAGGTCACTAAACAAGGACCACCTGCATAATTAAAATTATGCTTACCTCTCTAGTAGAATTCAGTGCCTTTCTCCATAAATGAAAAAAGTAATAAGCCAACTGGTATATAGTATTTGCATGATCAAACTTTTCTGTAAAAGCAGTAATTCCTGAAATTTCGGAAATTCCCCGAACATTTCTATCCTACAAGTAATCTTAGGTTATGACCACTCATTCAATGACTGTTCAAAGTTACGATGGCACTGAACAAGGGGAATTTATGACTGGTCCTCGTAGTTGTGGCTATTGCAGCATCCCCATAATCACATGATCACAATCCGGGCACTTGGCCACCGGCTCACACTTACAATGGTTGCAGTGTCCTGCAGTCATGTGATTGCCATTTGCAACCTTCCCTGCTGACTTCCCATAAGCAAAGTCAATGGGGAAGTTGGCAGGAGGTTGCAAATTGCTCCAGTAAGTTACTCCTGCTCCTGCCATTTTTTCTCTGCGGAAGCCCCAGGCAGCAAGACAAGTGCGGGCCCCTGGCAGGTGGACAGCTGACCACCTAGCCATACTTGAACCGGGGCATAGCACCCACCCCCTTGCCCACCTGCACTCGGGGCACCCATAGAACCCACTCCCTAACCGGCCACACTTGCACTGCAGCACTCATCCATGTACCTGGCCACACTTGTGCCATAGCACCCACCTCCTGCCTGCCTGCCTGCACTTGTGCTGTGTCTCAGCATCCCTCCTGACCGCGGTGGCGCTACAATGGTCATAACTTCAGGCACTGGTCATAAGTCACTTTTTTTAGCACTGTTGTAACTTCAAATGGTCACTAAATGAACAGTTGTTAAGCGAGGACTACCTGTACTGCTTGTGCAGTCTTGATTGTACAGTGCTTGTTATGCTTGATAATGTTGTCTCTAGGTAAAGCCATGTCCTACTTCATTTTTGGTTTAGAGAACTGATTTGGAATTTTGAGAGGTATGTCAGGCACACCCATAAAAGGGCTGTCGTTGGTGGGTGTGTCCAGTTAGAAAATAGTCATTTATGAAAATGCAAATGTGTTCCTACCATCTCTTCTATCTCCCAAGATGCACCTGACTTTTGTCTGTTTTCTGGGCAAGTTGGACATTCATCCAAACCAATGGGTTGTAGATATTTGTTCTTTTTATTTTTTTAGCATGCCTGTAGGGTCTGTGTAGGCCCCAAAATTATTTTTGGAAATAAAGATGATGCACAAGTGCTATTTCTTGTCTTTTTTTTTTTTTAGTTAATTTTTTTGGGGAAAAAATAATGTCAGATGTGGCACAGAAGGTTCAGATTGCCTCCCCAACTTAAGGACTTTGCAAGTTAAAGTTAAGACCACAACTTCTTCTTGATTCTCTTTTGCCCCAGTTCATTCTAGCCTGTGCATTCAACAAACACCAAGTCACAGAATTAGGCTCAGTGTCCTCTTCTGCTCAGCAGGCATGTTCATCTACCCAATGTCTAGCCCTGTGTTAATGCATACATATATTTAATGTGGTCTCCAACTTGGTTCTGTCAGATTCCACATGTTAACTGAACATGGTCTCTTCCTTTAATATTTAGGGTCAAAGGAGATACACATCCAAAGACTTACAGCATATCCCTTGACACCCTTTGTGCAGGATGTCAAGGGTCACACTCAGAAAATGGACGAAGGGTGGCTATATAAGTTTAATTAATAAATAAATAAGGGATGGATGGGTTGCAGAGTTTAAAGGTAAAATGAGTACCTTAAAACTCTACAAGGCTTAGGCACCATTCATTTCTTAAACTCACTATAACTTTTAAAATGTAGCAAGAAAGGACAGAATTTTGGCTCCATATATTCTAGTGGGGTCTGAGGGCTGCAAAAAGGGGATTGTGGACATATCTCAGTTTGGCTGTTCATTGTACATATATCATAATTTTATATGACTCAGTATGCTGCTGTGAGTGCCTTGGCTGAAAAATAGGTACTTTTTAAAAGAAAATAAATTAAAAATGTTGAAAGGTATTTAAGAAGAAATTTATAATCCAGAAGTCCACTCCCAACCTAGCTGCATACCAGAATGCCAAGAACAATTTACTGTATATCCAGGAAGTCACCTAATCAATTACTAAAAAAGCATGGGTATTTCTGGTTCATGCTTTGAGCGTTCTGACTTTGTGCATGTGTTGATTCAACCAATGAATCCAAGTAATGAGCTTGGCACCCTCATTAGAGCAACTTGAGCAGCTGAGAAGGGGGGAAACCCTCTCTTTAGTAGGCTTGTGGGAGATAGTTTGCATATGCCTTGACAAGTCACTTTGTAGCTCAGAGGTAATGCAATTCCTTTTTCTCAAGACAAGAAGGTGAGACAGTGCATTGTGAGGCATTGTGCATTGCTCTAAGCCTCATCACCTACTTACTGTAGCTGAAAGAGATTTCTATCCATGTCCAGTGAGTGTGGAGAAGCCTCTTCAGGCTACTGGAACTGTCGAAGGAGGCCTCAAAGTGAGATAGTGTGGCTGCTCCACTTTGCTGTTAAAAGTAGCAAGGCAGGAAGAATGAACACGTGGCTGTCAGAGCAAAGCACCCCCATGAAGCTTTCCATAGCCCTTGTTCGCTGTACGAGAAGGAAGGAATCCTGCCACCTTAAATCTCCCAAATTTAAAGCTGTGTTCATAAAAGGCAGGAACGATGGCAGATCTGTGGTGCAGATGATAATCATGATTCCCAGTAAGGATCCAGAAGCTCTGTTAGTGGCTTGCTTGCAATTGAGCTAAATCTTATACCAAATGCTCCTTGTCAGAACTTGGGTGTTTTTTAAGTCAATTTGTCATAAATTCATTTCTTAAGGTTCTTCTTTAAAAAAATAATAATAAGACCATAAGTGTATAAACTTGAATAAAGTCTATTAGAAAGTTTATTCAAGACTTAGAAAGAACATTTACAATAAATATTATTGCTCTGGACTGGTCTATAATGGGACAAAATATACTTATTTTTTATTAATCAATATTGTAAGTAATTGTGTGTGATGTCATTGTCCAATGGTTTATTTCAGCATAAAGCCATTCGTTCAGCAGGCCTATCCTATACAGCCCACAGTCACAACCCCCATTTCAGGTAACATTTACTAATTTGTTTGTGGCGGGGAGTGGATGGAACTAAGCCCATATTTAAGGCTTGGCACCGGTTGTAGTTGTTAAACGTATATCAAAATACTCAGGGGAGTTTGGTAGCCTCTTTATTTAGTTAACAATAATGAATCTATATGCATGTGAACTTGTGTATATAATTATTTCCACATTCATCAGTAGTTACAGAATATGCACGTGGCTCATGTAACAGCCGCTCCTGCTTCCGAGCACAGCAGTGGCTTGATATGTATTCCAGAATTCTGAATGGTGGAAGCATTAATGAGGGAGCAGCTCGGCTAGGATCCTTTCAACTGGCCTTGTTGATGAGAAATAAAGTAAAATCAAAATGCAGTATCAAGTTGACCCTGCAAACAAGTGCGGGTTTTTTTTTTTTTGGTTTAATTTTAGATTTTATTTTGTGTATTTATTTCGTTCCACTCTGCCTCCCAAAAGAATCAGAAACAGTTCAAAAGAACCCATTAATAATAAAACAAACCCCCATACAACAATAAAATGATTGGACTACAAGCACGGAAAACAGAGTTCAGTTAAAAGACAGCTGAAAAGGCAGCCTGGTCTCGGGACAGTGGTTATCTTGCAAATGCCTGAGTGAACAAATGGGCCTTCGATTGACCTTTGAAGAAGGCAATATGAAAGCCAACTTTAGTTCCCTCAGAAAAGTGCCACTGAGTAGACCCTCCTAGCTACCATGCTGCAAGCCACAAGCACTGGTCTTCCATATTAGTATGAGAGGTGATCTTTTAAATACTTGTGTCCTAAGCCTTTACCCTTTTATAGGCTAAAGTCAGTAGTTTGAATTGGTGGTGCCTGCAGCCAGGATAATGCTTTAAGGACCAGTGTCCCATTTAGTGAACAGTCAGACAGCTGCTTTCTGCATCTGCTGAAACTACTAGAAAGTTTTCGTTGCACTTAAGCACATTGCAATAATCCAACTGTGAGTTATTAAATTATGGATTGCTGAAACTAGGCTATGCCAGTCTGGGTAGAATTGCAGCTGGCATATCAGACAGATTTGGGCATAGTCCTTTGCCTCTGAGACTACTTGTGATTCTAGTGACAGTGCAAGGCGAGCCATCAGGCTATGCGCTCTTCCTTTAGAAAGAATGCTCCTTAATCCAGAACAGCACTTTCCTAATTCCCAGGCTTGAGAACTACATAGCATCAGCATTTGGGCCTTATCAGAATTCAGCTTCATTTTTTGATTCTCATAGTTTCTAAGTAATTACCAAGCATCTGCATAATCTCTCCTGATTAAGGTGGAAAAGAGTGAGTGACACTGCACTCCAAGTGTCCAGATAATATTTAGCAGGAATTTAAGAACAGAAACAGAAACCTGCAGGACTTCACATGATCGAAATGAACAGAAATTTCCCACTGCCAGTCTCTAGTGCTTCCCAACCTGCTTATTTTTATGTGCATTCACCAAACCGTATTTCTTTCCACTGTTGTGCATATTTCAGCACTCATGAGTTGGCCTCAGCAAGATCATAAAGTATACAACTATCTGCTCCTAGTAAGGACAACATAGGAGGTGTTGCATAATCGGCTTCTTGCCACAGTCAGAGATCACTAGTTCAGTCGAGTATCTACATTTGCCAATGCTGATTCAACCTTGATATGAAGGAATTTTAGGGCCTTCCAAACGATTCATTAATCTCTTGCTCCATCAGGGAGTTACTCTTTCACCCTCTATCATGTCTGCCATAATTCCACTCTAGCAGGAAACAGTCTAGTATTTAATGCTTTCAGTGCTATAAGGAAGTTTTTACATGATCTCAAATGTTTACATTTCACAATGTGGTTATACAGAAGATATTCTGCACTGTCCAGTTTCACTTTCTCTAATTCTGCCAGCTGCAGTTCTCTGAAATTTTATAGGAGCTATTCCAATGAGAATATACAATAGGTTTATTTTAGTGGGCTTCAAACAACCTCTAATAATTTAGCTGTTGTTAATAATGGCTCAGTTTTTGTAGAGAGTAAACAAGATGACCTTGACAGAGATATGCAGGATCCATTACCTAGGCAAAAGGGCTAAAGCATTTTTTAAAGTCCAGAACAAGATAACATTCAGAAACAGCTCAGGCAGACACCTCCCTAATTCACTGAACTATAAGAAGGAGAAGGAGGAGATATAGCACAATCAAGATTCTGTTGTTATAGCCAATCTCAATAAAAGTAATGTTAGCCTTCCTGTGGAGTTGACTTCCTGGTCTGGTCTACGTAGTGTGGCTGACAGTTTTTTCCTAGGTGAATGAAGCATTCTTATCCCGGGCATGTATATTTAGCACTGAGTGGGCCAAGCCAGGCTTCTGATAGTTGCTGGATAAGTCCCACTATAATATTTTGCTCCAGCAAGATCCCACAAGCAGTGGTGTCAGAGGTTGCTGAGAAATCCAGAAGAATCAGAATGATAGCACACTCCCTGTCTCTCCCAGCAGAGGCTATCACTCAGATAAGTCAGAATCTTTCAGTGCTATATCTGGTCTAAAGCCATTTCTATTACTCTGACCAAGAAAGGAATATTTGTAACTGGGCAACAGTTGTCTAAAATCTGAAGGTCTGGGAAATGCCTCTTCAAGAGAGGTGATACACTGCTTTTTTCAAAGCATAGCACATAAAGAGACATTAGTTACTCCCTGAGTCTGGCCCATAAACTCATCTGGTATCTAAACTGGAGATATGAGTGACTTTAGCCTTCAAGTGTTTCACAGACCTATTACTGAAGGCTACAGAACGATCAGCTGAGTCTATCTCAGGACAGTGCTGGTTAAGAAGTAAGGGGTCTATGCTATCACAAACAGTATAAGTGGACAAAATTATGAGATCTCACTTAAGCTTGGTTGTGTTTATTGCAAAATTTGCAGCATCTGGACTCTGCCATCCAATTCAAACCTCAACAGGAAGTGATCTATCTCTCACAATGGAGTGACTCAACCCAACAACAATTGGGTCACTTCCAACTGTTTTACCTAAAATCTAATTGATAATGTATTCTGTAATATGGGTTGTGGTGATTGTGAAGCCCTGAGCTGTATTCGATGGACAACCTTGATATGGATATTAACATTCACAGGAGAGCTATTCCAGAATTCTCCAGTGTCCTCAGTCAGCACAGAAAGGGAGATGTTAGACAGTATCCCATGCCAGCTGATGCAAAACAGAAGGCCAGGCAAATACAAGTTGCAAGTCTTTATTGCTGTTTCATAAATTTCCTGAGAGAAGCTGGGAGTGATTAGCCAGAGAGTGCTAAGATTTGCCTTGAAATATCACTTGCTATGTTCTGTAAGCAGGAAAAAGGCAGAGGTAAAATTAGAAACATTGTCCATTGTAGTCCAGGGACTTGGCACCAGAGAATTACACAAGCCAGTCCAAATGTTAAGCCAATGGTGTGACCACAAGGCAAGGAGCTAGAGTAGCAGGAACATAGGTCTGGAGTTGGAGAGTTGTTTCAAATGGTGGGAGAGGCCTGGAGGCTGTTGTTATACAGCCCCATATGCTGGTGTGGCTTGACTAGGGGCATTGCTCCCTCTGCCCTTAGGAAGATGGGCTCTGATCACCTTTGCTCTGCCCTTTGTAGCTGCCTTTGTATTCTTGGGCTAGTTATTCTGCCAGAATCTCCCCACTGAATCTCATTGTCTGTCACAGGTCCCACTTGCTCATCTCCATGACCTCCCCAAGATGACAATCCAGGAAACCTTCAATATTGTTCATGTCCTTATGTACGTGTATGGCTAGCCATGGATGCCTAGGATATACTATGGACTATAATATTTCTGTATTACTTTCTTTGGCTGCCAACGTGGATTATGTCACATAGCAGCATTTTAGAAATCACCTTTAACAAATGGAGGAATTACAAAGACCACGAGCGACAAAATCTTTAATATTTTCATGGGTTCACAAAGAAGAATTAAATGTTGGAATTAAAATAGCGTATAGTTAAATTTTTGCTTTAAAATCAAAACAGATTCTACAAGTGTACCATCTCTATTTATCAGAGCTGTTAAAGCAAGCTGAAAAGCAACTGAGCGTATAACTATTTACCATCTAGAATAGCCAGTAAATGGTTAATTTCATAAGGATGGTTCTTTATTTTTTAGGATTTGAACCCACATCAGCTCCAGCACCCTCTGTTCCAGCTTGGCAAGGTCGATCTATTGGAACAACTAAACTCAGACTCGTAGAATTTTCTGCTTTTCTTGAGCAACAAAGAGATCCAGACTCTGTAAGTGCTTCTCTGAAGTATTCCTTTATAAATGTACTCTAGAGCCATTGTTATGCCTATTTTTCTTCAACAGTTTTGTATTCATATTAAGGGTTTTTTTTAGTATCATAGATATGGTCTTTTAATTGTTAGTATTATAGATATGTTTTGTTAAGAGTTTGATTTTTCAGCTTTTGAACATTTTTGTACTAACCCTTAATGTCCAATTACTGCTTAGTAAAATAAGAAATTCCTGTCAGCGTAACTTTTATTCTAGTTCTGTACATAGTTTCCTACTTGTTATAGGTTTTGCTGACTTAATGTAGCCCAGTGAACGCCCCCTCCTCAAAAAAACCTGCAGGAATATTTAGCAATATTCAGCTAAAGAGAAAGATTAAGAATATATGTTAAACCTTTTCAAGTATACATTGATTTCAGTGTCATTTACTAGCTATGTTAAGATGCAGAATATTTATGCATTATGCTAGGCCCCATCTTTCATCTTAATTTTAAATAAATTCTTTCAAAATATCTGTTAGCAGTTTTTAGAAATTATGTAAAAAAGAATATAGGAAAGACAGAGAAACTGAACAATTTGGATTCAAACATAAGAAATGGCACTTTTTGTACCATTTAAAGTCATCTCTCAGATTCTGTCCAAACCTAACTTTTTCACTCACTACATCCAGCCAATGTTGTCTTTTCAGTTTACTTTCATATTCCAGTTCAGTTGTTTTAACTGTCTGTCTTAGATCTTCAGTCTTGACCTCCTACCTCTCTTTTCACTACACCTAAACTACTCTTCATAAATGGTCTCATTAGGAAATCAAATGTCTTTGCTTTGTACCCATTTTCATAATCTCTCTTCTGATTTAACTGTAAGTAAATGGCTATGTTCACATGTTATTCTAAACTGTACTTTGTTTTAACTTTGGTTTATTGAATAAGTGACAATGGCTAGGTTCACATACAACTTAGAGCATAAATCATACTTTACAAACTACAGTGGCTGGGTTTACATATCTTGCTAATGTGATTAGTTTGGTTTGAGCTTAGAAGGACATATGAACCCTCCCATCATCTACTTCTTTCCTCTTTATATCATTTTCTACCTGCTGGGATTCCTGAGGAACCTACTGTTAGTCTCCTGTTGCTCTCTATGGTTATCTCTTGGCTAACCTCATCAGTACCACCTCTGTTGGGAGGATCGCAGAATAGATCTCTCAACCTCAGTCCATCTCCTGCTGATATTCACTTAGGTTTCTCATCACCTTCTCACAATCAGTATATCAGATTGAACAAATCTTTCCTCCTGAGTTGTCTTGTTGTTGATTATTATTCAGATCATTCTTGTCAAGAGATTTATCTATTTGACCCCCCCAAAAGCATCCATTCTTTTAATTTTTTGCTCTTTTTTTCTTTCATTCCATGTATTGTCAATTGGTATTCTCTATGGCTGGTGTGGGTCTTCCAGGCTGTGTGGCTGTGTTCTGGAAGTTTTGTTTCCCTATACTTAAAAAACAAACAAACAAAAAAGCCTGCATCATGCGTGGTGATGTTCTGCCTTGACTACTGATATCTTCTTTTCCCTGGCTTTCCTCACTCATATCTTTATTTCTATTGATCTCTTCTGCCAACATTCTTCTTTTCTCTCACTGCTTAAACTTTTAGGATCCCCAGGATAGGACATGGTCCTCTAAAACCTTAGATAGAGCCTCTCAGTACTTACCAATGAATTGAAATTTTGAAAGTAGCAGAAGAGAAAAATTATTAAATGCATTGGAGTCATTATATTAACAATATGGAAATTAAAGTTAAATCATTTTTTGTTTATATCATGACCTTGCCCGTGTTTTGGATTATGGTCCTCAGTATGCTACTCCAAGGCTCAGTGCCTGAAAAGGTTGCTCATCAAATGATCAAGAGAAGGTGTGGGGGGACAAATGATATTCTTCTTACATAGATAATGTTGAAGTGCATAGTAGGCAGAGCAGGCAAGCTGAAGCTGCCTGATGACTCTGGAAGGGAAGGAGACAGCAAAAATCAAGTTGTTGTCTTTTTCTATGATGCAAAGGGAGTCAATATATGGATACAATGAAGGTCATTGTTTATGTTAGAAGGTGCTAGTATCAGTAGGAAGGACAGGCTTGGAGTCTCTTTAGAAGAGCAGAATGTAAAGGTGCCAGGTCAGCCCATAGTAAAGTCACCCCATGTTGTTATCAGATCCTACATCCCTGCCATAAAGGCCATGTTATAATTTACACTGCTTTGTATCATTTCCAGAGGGTATGTAGCCTATAACTTTGTGGGCCGTGGGGCTTTTCTGCGTTCCTCTGACGAGGGGCCCAGTGATCCCTTTAGAGTGTATGGCAATAAAAGATACTTCATTGTGTCTATCTCCAATTGTTTTGGTTCCTTATTTAAGTGCGTATTTTTTTCACAACATGTGACTAGTATTTCACATGAAGAGCTGAAAGCTAAAATAATGTTTTAGCATCCTCTTGAACTTTGAATTTGCAGTTCCATACCATGCAAATGAGAAAATGTAGAAAAAAATCTTATGACTTTTTTATGCCAGAGATATTGGAAAAGCAACATCAGCTTGAGTAGACAATACTGCAGTAAGTGAAGTAATAGCCAGACTCGCTATCTGTAAGGATTTCTTAAAACAGGAAATTAAGAAACTGGATTTTATACTATAGGACTTGCAAGAAAGTATAAAACATTAGAGATCTCACTTAATGACATTGTATATAATAATTATTATTGTATTTATATAATTACCTTTATTTATATATTTTTTTCAATTGTCATCTCTATGGGGTATCACAAAAGAGCAGAAATCAACCTATTAATTTTGTTTTCCCATGGGGGAAACGTGTTAAACTGACCATTTTATGCAGATTTTCCCCCAAAAAGGATATATACTCATGAACACGTGGAATTTTCAACCTTAATTTTATTCAAAAGCTTGTGCACTACAATAGCCTGGAAAGCTATTTTGAGCTTTTTATACATATATCATTGTTTTCTCTGAGGCAGGGAGTATATATGCAAGGAGATATTATCAAGAGAGTGTTTTTAGAATAATGGAGATCAGAAATATGGCACTGTAATCTTGCCTAAGAGGAATCTTTACCACAATAAGCCTATGAATAAAAACTAGCAGCACAACAGTAAGAGATATTAACACAAACAATAATGGTTCATTTTTCAATGCTGCTCTTTGGAAGACTGAATAAATTTTAACTTTAGATGTAAAGATGATTTATCTCTTAGAAGCTAAGATATCAATGTTAAGTGAGCCTATTAATACTGTCCTCTGGACCAGTGATGTTTAAAACATGTATATAAACATTGAAATTCAAGTCTTATATTTACAATGTTCTGGCATTTGCTGGTAGAAATTGCTACCAGATCCACCTGTATGGGTGACTGGCCATTTCCTGATCATCCTTTTCCAATCAAAATCCATTATTCTCTTCAATTAGAGAATGTGGAATTAATTGATCTTAGCACATCGGTTATGTCGCCGTTGCTACGATTGTTTCTTTGGGAATATATTTACTAGCTGCTGATACAGCCACACTGCAAGTAAAAAGAATCTGAGAAAAGGAAATAGCTGGTTGGCTTGAGAGGCAGAGCAGAAGTTAATCAACAGAAGTAAGACTAACTTAAGGAGAGAGTTACAGTAAGCATTTCTTCCCTCGGTAATTGAAGTCAGACTTAGCAGAGAAGGTATACAATAAGTAAGAAGTGAAGGTGTATGTCGTACCTGCATCAAGAGGCACATTAAGGAACCCTATTGAGAAGAAGGGCCTTCATGGAACAGCCACACAGACAAACAAAAAGCCAATTCAACACAACATTGGCCATTGCTGTCCATTTAAATGCTCACTGAACTTGGGAATGGGTTTGTCCTAATAAAACAAAATTAATAGGTTGATTTCTGCTCTTTTGTGATACCCCATAGAGATGAATTCTCCCACCCTGAAAATACGTGGATGCTTTGGAAGTCTAACGTGGATTTGTTTTCATAACAAAACTAGCTAAAGTTAGCTGAAGTTTCTTTCTGTAATGGTCAAATTGCATAGAGTACGAAATCTTTTTAGAAATCTTTTACAATACACTGTTTGCACAATGGTTAGGCAAGTGAGTATTTTGACCATATCATCATTTTTATGCATATTTTCCACCTCCAAGC